ATGTTCCTCTAACACGATCCCCAGTTGAATCGATGGATTCGCACTACTGATGAGACCAAACCAGATCGAAACAGCTGTCCAGTTGTGCTTCTGAGCTTTTCATTTCCCGTGTCATTTGCTCCCTATACACGACGAAATTCACCACATCAAAAAACCAACTCCTCCATTTCTTTCATGTAACATGTAATTGAGTTGGAATGTTTCCAACCGAGTCATAACTCTCAAGGCTTGTGCCGCGATGCGCAAGGTACGATGCTTTAATTAAGCTTGCAATGATCTACACACATCTATTTGATTGTACGCATCGAAATTTCATCACGGTTCTTTTTGTGATAAAATACGGAAAGAGGATACGGAAAGACTCAGACTTTCAGCCCCACAAGTGGGTTCACTACTACAATAACGGGTTCCACAGAGAAATTAGAAATCATGAACCATTTTTGATCAGATACCTGATGAATACGAAAAAGTATCGCAAACTATCAAGTAAGTGTTTAAGGTGAGCATAAACACAAGAAACTATATTTCAAATATTGATGACCTGATAAACCTAAAGTAAAAGCAATTTTGTATGGAGAATTCGTCGTTTAGGGAGCAAATGAAACGTGAACTGAAAAGCTGGGAAGCACTGGACATCTGTTTCGACCTGGCTACGTCTCATCAGCAGTGAACGAATCCATTGACCTAACTGGGGATGGCGAACCCAGAACCCCACAGACAGAATGCAAGCATGCTACAAATCTGTTGAATTGTAACCAAGAAAAAAATGTCTTTCATTTCTTAGTATGAAAAGTCTCACGAGTAATTTATAACTAGCAAGTTTAAAAATACACTCACCGGCGATTTGATTGTTGCCCAATGAAAGCGTGCTTAGTTTGGGACATTTCATAGATGGAATTTTTGTTATTCTATGAAAAGAAACACAAGGAGCATGGAAGAGAGAACAATCAGGTGACTGTTCACCAATTTACGAATTCTTGTGATTATAGAAAAGTTAAAATAACTTGAATGTGCGAGAAAATGCATAGTTTTGGAGGTCTGTATAAACAATCACATGAATAATTTAATTTTCGCCAAATATTTTGCGTCCAACCCCTTTGTGGATTGATGACAAATTAGAATTTAATATCAATATATACAGTATATATATATCATATATCATATACAATATGTAAGATGTGTATATCAGCTCAGTTTAGTGTTTAGAACCACTAACTTTCGTGTGCCGGTTTTGGTTGCTGTATTTGAATAAGACAGCAAGATGAAGATTGGACTGTTGACAGCGAATTCGAGAGGGGAAGATAGAGGAGGATTCGTACAGACCGGTGTTAGGAGAATAATGAGTAGATGCACGAGCGCCACTGTTTATGACACCCAGCCATATCACTGTGTCTCTAACCATCGGTGACCATCATCCTGGGGTCCCCAACCAGGGAGCTTAACGGGGCCTATGTAACCTACTCTAGTGGTTAGGGTTTTCATACCTTCATGCCAGGTCTTCGTTTGACCTTTTTCCATCCGCTGTCTGCCTTGACAAACATCACACGCCGTGGCAACCTATACGGTGACATGGGTAACACGAGGCCCAAACAACGTAATTTATGGAGTTCGGCCACTTGCTCCAATGAACGATCGCGACTGCCTAAAACTCTACCCCTAACCTCAGCATTGCTCGTCCGGTTAACCCACCAGACTCGTGCAATGTAGCGTGGACAGCGGTGTTCGAACACCGACAATCTATTTTTATCCTGTTCCCTTGGTGGCCAAGTGTCTGTATCGTAAAACAGGACTGACAGAACTGCTGCAGCATACACTCGACCCTACACAGACAGCCGGATATTGCGACAGCGCCACAAATGTCTCAAGTTGGTAAATGCCAAACGAGCCTTCTGTATGCGCTCCGACACTTCATCTGTGATGCGTCCGTCAGGTGAGATATAACTGCCCAGATAGCACAAGATAAAATTGACGAAAGCTCCATTAAGGCTCAGTTGTCGGTGCAAGAAAACGTTCAAAAGCTAAAAAAACAAGCTCGGAAAGCAAACCACCACCACAACAGGCATGAAATGTTATTTTAGTGAATGTTAATCGAGAAGCCTGAAACGTTTGCATACTGTCTCCAAACGTGTTTGACTAGGTTGGCCTTGTTCTGTGAATTGCTAATGCCCTTGAGCAAGTATATTGAACGCATTAATCCTCAGTTGTAACGGTCTTAAAATAAGAAAATAAGGCAATATTTTCTAGTTATTGTATTCTTAACATGATCCAGTTTGA